CTGGATGAGGCTTTGGGCAACCTGGTGTAGTGGAGGGTGTCCCTGCCCGTGGCAGGGGAGTTGGAACTAGATGATCTTTGAGGTCCCTTCCAACCCTAACCATTCTATGATTCTATGACTGATTTTTGCCTAAGAGGTAAAATAACCACATAAAGGCCAGTCTGTAACAGAAAGAAGCTAAATAACTGGTATCCAGTGTCAGGACTCATGGGAATAGTTCAAAGATGTGCCAAAGGAGGTTAAGACTGGACATGAGGAAACATTTACTTACTGAGAAGGTGGTCAAACACCGGAATGGGCCTCCTAGAGAGGTGGTCGATGCCCCAAGACTGTCAGTGTTTAAGATGCATTTGGACAACGCCCTTAACAATATGCTTTAGCTTTTGGTCAGCCCTGAATTTGGTCATCCAGGCAGTTGTACTAGATGATCGTTGGAGATCGTTCCAACAGAAACACTCCTAGTCTAGTCTAATTCTCTTTCCCCTCCCCTTCCCACACAGATACATCTGCAGCTACAGACCGAGAAGACAAAGCCACACCATCTTTCATGCTCTCAGTACGGCACATACAAACATCTCAGACTTACATGCTGCCCCTAAAGGGACTTCTGGTTAAAAGGCTCAAACTGTTAAGTGCACACAATGAACAGGATATACATGCAGGCAAGTTTTTTAAGAACGGCTATTTTCCTCAGACTGTCTTCGAGAAATTTACTTCATGGCTGAAGGTGAAGAACTACATATTGTCATACGTTATTGCCACTTACCAAGGTAAAACGCGTTTCAAAATGACCTTTTGAAACTCACTTTATGTCGAGAACTGAATAGCAGTGGTTGTGCTTCTGCTACAGCAGCTACTTCCTCTCTTCCATACCTCTAAAAAGAGCACAGCATCTATCTCACAGCAGTGCTGAATTCTCATTTTTAGTCATTCCTTTGCTGTCTGCCTGTGTCTTCAGATCTGCTTAATGCCCGGTGTCAATGTTCTCATCTGTTGCTGACAAAGAAACTGGTGTAAGAATTGCTATGAGGATTCTGAGCTCACGCGTCCATTTCAAATGTTTAATCTTTGTCTAGGTATCCAAGAAACAGCATAGGAAAATAACAAGTATATACTTTTGATTAGCTAGACTAGGATCTTCTGGAGGGACACTGTCTCAGTATCCATACTCCTCGCATCTTGGATGCAGAGTAAATTCCCACTCAGCAACGCACATGTCTCTGTCAATATTGCCATCTACAGGAAACCACAGATCAGTGTCTTTTTAGTAACTACACTCCTTAAGCAAATTCTCACAGAAAACTTTGAAAAAGTGAGACAGGTGAAATAAAGAGACATCCATTATCACCCAGCTTTTCCCTCAAAAAAAGATTTATTTTTTTTTACTGATAGAATTGAGACCAACAGTTGCAGTATTTCTGTATTTTTACAGCAGCCTTGTCTCCACTCTCAGTCCCACAATGGCCTCTAAACTTCTTCTCTGTTCCCAGGAACTCAGGGGAAAAAGGGGAGAGCAGATGGGTGCTGAAGAAGTGGAAAGACATGCAGAAAAACCTGACTTACTATCTTGACCTGCTTGTTTTTAATTCTTTAAGGAATCCAGTTTATCAAAAAAAAAGGAAAGACAGAAACAGAAGTCTGGTTTGTAAGCTTAACTCTGACAGAAAACGGGCAATTGCGTTTGACTTTCTGATGCCCATCTGAAGAGAACAAACATTGCTCGCATAGTGTACTTAAAGCCAGATAGAAATGAAAAAAAACCCAAACAAACAAACCCAAAACACTGAACTCATTTCAAGATGGAGGATAAGCAGGCAGAGGTTGGGGGAATCAGACTTCAACCCCCTAATGGTAGTAATCATCTGATTTCCTAGCAGTGCACAATTTGCTTTAAAAAAAGTCAGCTTTGCCCAAAATACCCATAGAGCTTTCTTTGTTAATTTGATTAAATCACAGCATCATATATTTAAGCTCAGTATTACTCTTTTCACAAATTGTTCTCATTCTTTTTTCCAAGATCCTTACTATTTTGAGTTCTTTGATGGGGAAATTTTGGTAAGCAATGCCTCTAAGGTTCTTTCTCAACACACATACCATAGCAAAGACAAGTTCTTAAGATATATCATTTCTGGCCACTGTAAACAGATACCCCATGAGACTTAACCTCCACGTTTTTCAGCTGTCTGTGGTCTAAAGCTCTGAACTTACAATACTTCGGCATAACTAGATCATGATTTGGCTGGAGTCATTCCCCTCCACCTAACACCATGGAGCTGAGTTATCTCATACCAATCAATTTTCACAGAGCTCTCACTTCTTAAAGTTTCAGAAAAGTTTGTCAGTATTCAGAAAAAGCCAGGAATAACTTGAGCCCCACAATCTGTGGGCAATAACGGACTTTTAGATCACAAATCTATCTTCCACTCTTGCTTGCATACCTCACCTGGTATTTTTCCCCATGTTGCAACTAACCTGCAGCACTCCCTTAACTCTGTAGAGCGCAAGTAACCAACAACCTCTGACCACGTCCAGTTGTTTTCTGTAACAAAAAGTCTTTCAGATAGCACCTGTTCCTGCTGTTCCTACCACATGGCATTCCATTATCTCAAAGAGATACCATTTAACTAACTTGTGAAAATTCAGGTGTTTTCAAGGCCAGACACTCCAAAGGTGGCTCATATAAACTGTTACATCAGCAGAAAAAAAGATATTTGTATCCGACCAAGGTCAATTACAGCCGTAGAACACAGGATTTCTTCCCCTAAACCATTCTATTATAGAGAGCCTACATACTGCTACTCCCACACCGGTACAGGGCTCGGCCTGAGGAGCTTCGTCACAGCAGCTTTTGGATCTGGTACAACTGCAGTGAGCATGAGAACACATCGTCCTCCTCCTCCTCCTTCATTAAACTCAAACTGCAAGCACAAGTAACTTGAGCAGGGATATCATCAGGAACTTTACCATAAAGTTTCATCACTTTAGAATAGTCATTAAACGTCTTATCCAGACGTTTAATTAATTAACCATTTTGAATGCTGTTACTCTTTAAAATGGGGAAAAGGTGATGCCATAGAATAGCACACCCGACAGACAAACAAGACAAACCCTAAAAGAGAATATTGCCACATGAAGCATTTATCAAAAATAATCAGATAACTTGCTTCCAGTAGTAATCTGTGAAAGCATTAAACTGACTTTGTTTTCATACAGTAAGGATTAGAAAACTCATGCAGGACTTTTTTTTAACTCTAAACAGACGCCGCTGCTTCTTTTTCAATCTCCTTTCACTCAACTATCCCTCGTTTAACCTGCACAGTACATTTATTTATTTTGCAGGAGCCTTGCTACTGGACAGCTGTTTTGACCAACTCCTCTAAATAAATTTCTGTCCCTACATGTGGGACATTTCTGTCCCTACATTGTGGGGTACATTAAAAAAAAAAAAAAATCGGTATTTTAAGTTACCAGATATTGCAAGCCTCAGTCACCTGGAATAGCAGTTGACAGGTAGAAAAATAAAGCTACATTTCCTAAGCTCTCAAACAACAATCCAAAACGTGATTAATTATAGTATCCCGTATTACACAAGACACAAAAGGGAGCTATTTTGTTTTCAAATTACCTTAAAACTTCAGAGTATTATTCTTACAATATACGTCACTGACTTCTTTGCAACAGGCTGTAGAGGAAAAATTAACACTTTTGGAAAAAGCATGCTATAAAATTACATTTTTTGAAATCAACATGTCACCTTTATTAGTTGTGGTAGTGCAAGCCCCCCACCAGCCAACATTGTTCTTGATTCCATCGCAAGTGCAGTGAGCTGGGACGATCCGGCACTTTCTGATCTCAACTGCTGGAGCAGTGAGTTGAAACAGTCTGGTACCTTTTTGACTGAGGTACAAGTACAGCAAGTCAAGATGGTTAGGCACTCCCTAACTGCACCTGGAACTCCTGTGGTCTAGGAAACGTATCCGAGACCCCTCCTGCCTGGACTGCAGCCCACTCTGAAAGTTGCCAGAATTACTCGAAAAGAATTATGGGCAAAACGGAAAAGGACATGACAAAAGTCAATTATCTTGGACCCTATAAATAGAGATTCTAAGTGAGACCCTATGAGGTCTCCTGGATGGCAGTGGGCTGTGACCAGCATCTCCCCTCAGCTGGGACACCTCTCAGGTACCAACTCCACCGACCGTCTGCTGACAAAGCTGATGGAAAGCCGAGGTGAGCCATCCTCCTTCAGTCTCAAGTATTGCCCGTTGAGGAACATCAATGTGCATTGTGAGTGTTTACTCTAAACTCAAGAGGGAGATGTTACCCATAGGGTAGCCTCTTCCATCCACCTCTCTACCTACATGTGTGTCTGAATATACACATTTGCCTTCACGAGTGTGGGTGTCTATATTTCACTGGATCCAAATATTTCTGTCTGCCTGCTTTATGTTTTATACATAAGTACATATATATTTTTTGATGTAGGATACCTTGTAGTAAGTTAGTGTGCCTCTTGCCATTTTCAAATCTGTAATTAAGTCGCTGTTTTAATTATAATGTATCCTACTGAATCATCTTTTTAATCTTTAAATTGGTCAATCGTTAAGTGTTGCTAAAATTCAACTTTTGATTTACCTCATACCATTAATAAATCCTGAATTGCTGTTAAATCGTAACTGTGTCAAACATTTCACCCATGACATTAATACACTTGACAGTTGTGAAAGATTATTAGCGAGGGAAGTTTACAGAGCCATAACTTCACTGATCTACATTTTTCTGTTAGTGATAAAGACTCTCCAGAATTAAGACTATCACTTCACTAGCACAGATAAATGGTTCACTAAGGCAACTAGTTTTCAGCCATCTAGTCTACATAAGAATATTTACTAATTTATCAAAAGCTGCATATTTCTTCTGGAAAGAATAATTCTCCCACCCACCCCATTTGGCTATGCTGTTCCACTTTTAAAAGTGGATGCTAGTTTGAGACTTGCAGCTTGTGTGTGAAGACATTTACTGTTACGCAGATACAAGGCAGCTACATGCATTCCAGTTCCGAGAAAAGCAGGCAGTTCTTTTCATGTTTATTTCTTGTATCTTTCACTTCAAAGTTGCAGGAAGTAATGTGTCCATCCATGTTTGTCATAAGTACAAATATGCGACGTAACAATTATTCCAGATGTGAGCTTATTTCTTTTTCTTCCCTTTACCCTTCTTGCCTCCCTCTCCTTGCTGAAGACTTTGATCACTACCTCCCATCTTTTGGGTTCTTGTTTTCAGTTTGGGAATGGTTTCTGCAGCATACAGCATCACCGATTTACCTAAAAACACAGGGAGAGGTCACTGCATGCCTACTACATTAAGAACGTTTGCATTGTTTTCAAAGCCAGAAACTTCAGCCCCACTTTAGATTTCTGTCAAACTAGATACAAAGCGTAGGAGTTCTGCTTCCTTCCCCTGTGTGGTCAGAAGTTTGTGAAAAATTCTTAGCAATCTTTTTTTTTTTTTTTAATTTTAACAAAGTGCAGGACTGATAAATATCACAGCATAATGGAACTGGCACATAACCTGACAATCTCCAAAGTATCTACATCCTTCTTGTTACTCTTTCTTTAATCTTTTAATGGCCTAAAATACCTGGGATAGAAAGACCAGACAAAAGCTACAAACATTTTTAAAAAGGCACTGCTGTCTTCCAGTAGGAATGTGGTTTTAAATCATCTCCTCTGACCAAGAGCACTCTTACCACTACTCGGTGTTATCCTTGCTCCTTCCTTAAGACACATGCTTCTTCAGACATATATTTGTTTCTCTTTTACACACTGATTGCTCACCAGGGAAAATGGAAGAACTAAATTACTAGTCATTCAAGATGAACTATTCTTGTTAACTAGTTAAAGGGAGCTACTCCATTATTAGAGGAAGGCAAACAGTAAACTAAAGTCAGTACTATATTTTATCAATTTGGTACCCATACCGATGCCTAGCTGATGTAGGTAACCTAGGAAAAAGGTGGAATTTAGCCATTTTAATACCAAAACCTCTGCTTTGACTGTTAACAAAACAGTAAGCCAAAACTGAATGCCTGCTTTCTTCAACATAGTAATCACACATAACTCTTCACAACCCCTGTAAATTCAAGTGCTGAAGAAACAGCAGGATTAAAGACAACAGCATTTTACAAACTCCACTCAATGCTCACACACCAACTTGATTTGGTTGACTTCTACAGGCAAACAGATTTAATGGCAAGTTGTAAAATTTATAATAGTAAAACTAATTAAACAAGCTGGCAATACAACAAAATAAACAAAGTCTTTCTGGTTTAGTAACAGATAAAAGCGCCTAACCCAGGTACTCTACTCACGTGTCGGAAACTGAGGTAAACATGGGTTGCCATCATCTTGTTTGAGCTGAATTCGTACTCTACCTCTGTACTGCGCGTCTCTGTTCCACTCTCTAGGATACATCTTATTTTTCTGTCATACAAAAGGAGAAACTTATCATGTTTCTGGAATAATTCTCTGCAAAATTTGTCAGGCAATTGTTGTAAGTCATAGCACAGCTGCAAACCAAAGCCACAGCTCTCCAAGAGTGTCACCCACCATTTAGCCATTGCAGTAGTATTGGAAGCTATAGCAAACTTTTCAGAAGCACTGCTGCAACCAACCACTGGTATTGAACAATTTAGTGAGTAATCTGCTACAGTGACTGTTCTACTTCCCCACCAGTGTGGACTGCAGTGACACAGGCTTTTGTTTCGTCTCCACAGCCACAAACCCTTCTGGACACCTAGAGACAGCATGTCAGTAGGTTGCAGTCTCAGGACCACTGCTTTTGGATACTCATAGCCTTCATTTTTCTTCAAATGTTACAGGTTTCTTACTGGTACTGGCTATTTCACAGGAATATAATCAACTTCTTCTGACAAGAAAAGTGATATTGTACTGGTTTTTGGATACCATACTCCTAGATGAGGACCTAAATTCTTTAGTGAAGAAGTAATAGAAAACACAATGGTATTTTAAATGAATAATTACTTCAGAAAACGAACCACGAGAAGTCACCTCTCTAAAAACCCAGACTCATTCCTTAACAAAAAAGTAACCAATTTAAATTATTTAAAGATCAAGCAGGTATTGCAATAAAAAAAATTAACATTCTCTGGCTAAAACACAACTCGAGGACCCTGAACATTTCAAGCATCAGAATCCTGTTCCTACAGGACAGTCATTCCAAAAACATAAGCACCTTTCATTAAAAATTTGCTTTTTTAAAAGCTTAATTTGCAAAGTTGCACCTTACAAAATTAAGCTTTTACTCTGACACACTTTTAAGCACCCAGGATAGTCTTCTCAGAGGATTGTTAAATAAAAGCAATCTTTTCATAAGCTTAAAAAATGGCATCGTCTCAAAGATCCAGCTTATTCCTGCCTTGCATACAGTTTTGCAACATTTCCTTCACAGTTTTGGTCAGTTATTTCTGAAAGCAAGCAAATATCTTGGCTGATAACAAAAACTTCTCAATTGTAATTTATCCTATCTGTAAGAAAAGATATAATGAAAGAAGAAGAGAGATACATATTAAGTTTGTGGGATTTTTTTTGTGTTTTGTTTTTTCTTCTAAATTACCTCTAACAGTACGTTGAATCCAACTGCTGCACATACATCTTGGATTTCTGTGGACGTGGGATTTTCAACAGCCTGTTGAAGCAACGTGTTACAGTTAATTATTTTTCAATCATGAACTACCTATACAGCTACAGTTAGCAGTTTCCCACCCTATACTCTATAACAAGAAAAAGCAGAAGAGGAAAGAGAAGGTACTTCAAATAATGACAAATATACTGTAGAATTATCTATGAGTGCTCCTATGGTCTAGAAAACATTAAAAAAAAAGAAACAGAAAAAGAGAAGAGATAACACGTAAGTACAACAAGTAACAGAGAGAGAGAATTAATTAGGATAGGAGCAAGTAAAAGAATTGCTTAGAAAAAAATAACTGAAACAATGTAACATTTATTGTATTTACAAAAAAACACGAATCAGCAAACTTATAGCAAGAACCGAAGGAGAAAAAAATAGAAACTTTCTAGGCACAAGGCAGTAGATTCCTCCCACAGACAGATCTTTGATTGGCAATTTGCACGGTCAAGAAAGATTTTATTCTTAACTATTATCAGAACACAACCCCAATCCTAGAGCAGTGAGAAAAGCCCTTTATATTCTCAGCACTGCTTGTTAAAAATATTATAAAGGAGTGAGATGATCAAAAACTATTTCTGGACAGACTAAAAGCAGCAACAACTAGCAAGTCTATGGGCCACATGTACGTCAAGTTCTATCTTTGACAGCAGCAAAGGGGACAGGGCATAGAATACAGGCATGTATAGTCAGTCACCAAGCAAAAAATCATTAGCTAGTTACACATCACTTCTGGATTTGGTAAATTACTCATGTAGGAGTTGAGCGCATGGAGTTTCTCACTACTGCACCTGCTTGTCAAAGGTGCTTTTCACATGAAAGCAGACACTTAAACTCAGCGCTCTTCTACCAAATTCACATGCTGATGCTAGCTTATTTTCAAACACACTGTGATTTTCAGTTATTAAGCTACTTGCCATGGGGGACAGGAAAGATCAACAGCTTTGAGATTTATTTTCCAACTCCCTACATGCTACCGCATAGCAAAACGAAACATCGTATTTCCCCGCCATGCACAAAATTACCTTGTCTATAGGTATCCTTCTTCCTTCTGCTATTGTCTTCTTGTTATTCAAATACGCTGGATAAATGCAGATGAATCTAAAAAGAGAAAACAGGTAAGTAAGATAAATTCCTTAATTGTTTATGCAATGTTTGCCCAACAAAACAAAAAATAAATCTCATGGCTATGACGCAAAAGTTCCCACAGCAGCTTAGAACAGTCATTTATTTTCCCTAGACCAATCGGTAAGATGTTGCAAAACCCATATTGAATTATCCAGGACACTTCATGACCATTTGGCTGAAAAGCTCTTTGCATGACACCACTTTATGGGGCACGAAGCACAGCGTTATTTATCTTGAGAAAAAAAGGAGGCTGAAAGAGAATCTTTTGAGCAGTTTCTTAAACCCTTGAAGCCTAGAAGAGAACATACATGTTTCCTTGAAAAGAATTGAAGAAAGTTTCCTGCAAAGCTTGTAGTACGCTAATTGCTGACTAAGTTCTTGACAGAAGCAGGACGCAGGTTTGTTTTTTTTTACTACAGATTTGCTTTTTCCTCCCCCTTATCCAAACACAGAACAACCCAGATTTGGTTAAGTTATAAAATCTCTGAAATACTATGCTTAGAAACTTAAGATTCTTCATTACGTTTAAAACCTGTCAAGCACATACAAGGGACAAGAGCGACAGAACCTCAGTTATAGTTCTTATTAGACAATAAAACCCCCAACTAGCTAAGACCCACAAGGAGAGGCTGAAGAATGCCCTATGTCTGAACGAGGAGCTACGACAGCATAAGAACACAGTGAAGCAAAAAGTAAGCAAATAATCTGGAGCAGACTAATGCTCAGGCAGCTGGAGACCGATCACTGATCCTGACTGCCTCCCAGGAAACGCTTCCTGCTGCCGCTAAAACTACCCTCAGTCATCTTAACTCTTACTATTCTTCTCCTTCTAAACAGCTTTCCACCGATATTTCCCCCTGTTAGCCACAGCCCTCTTTGCCCCTTGTGCGAAAGCACCAGCCGGCTGCCAGAGTTCCGCACAGGCGGTTTCCAGTCTCGCTACTGACGTTCCCAACCACCCAGGTACGACGCTGACCGCCACCTCTTCCGCTCCGTTCACCTCTTCCGAGCTCTAAACGCTGAGACACGTTAGAAGTGCGGCAGGACGCCGCAGCACCAAGCGCTCCACAACCAGAAACTACCAGACTTCGACCTCCCGCTTCAATCTTGCGCGGGGGGCAAT